TGTGTCGAACGTTCGGTGTGTCGCAGGTGTGTGCAGCAGACCCATCAAGAACTCAAGGATGAGTTTGTGATGAAGAGCCCGAGCCTTGGTGTCAAGCCTCAAGTGATTTCGAAGCTCGCCAAAAGGGTACACCTCAAGATATTGAAGATTGTTACATTACTTTGTGTAGTGTAACATTTCACTTGGTGTAGGCCCTAGTGAAGGGTAGTTTCGAGACCCTTCGTGGTTGGGGACAGTGTGGCACTGTTCCACATCACTGTATCTCGGCTCTTGGGGTTTGTAGGAGCTGGGAGTCATTCCCAACTCGTAACTCTTCCAAACTCTTCCTATCTTGTGTTCTAAGACTATGTTGCTGCCATAGTGCCGTTCGTTCAAACCAACGCTGTGTCGTCAATACTTGGTCAAATCGTGCGATCTAAGTTGCCTAGTGTAGGCGAGAATAAGACGCTCCAGATCCAAGTTGAATCAAGTCATTTGATGTTGTGACCAGAACGCTATGAACGTTTGAAGCCGCTGTGCAGAAATCCGACTGTGCACTCTATCTTTCGTTTTAGGCACATTGGAGCCTACTGTGACTATAACAGTGGCATGGGGCGATTGGCACCACCCACGTCTGCCGACCCGATGGAGAACGACGAGGGCGATGTGGAGCAGCGGCTAGCAAATAATGAGACGTGCAAATTTTGCGACGCTACAGGACATCGTATCTTGGCGTGTTGGAAAATGAAGAGAAGGTGTGCGGAGCTGAAGGACAAGAACAGTGCGGCACCCCCGAAGCAGAAAACGGACAACGTGGCAACTTCGGAGAGGGCGAAAAAAGGAGAATATGGTGGCGCAAATTTAAAACGTCACGACCAGCCGGCACCAGGGGAAATCGCCGAGACTAATGAAGGATCCGCGAAATAAGACCCTGCACCGGCCCGGAAACTCCAGCCGTATACCCCGACAAGTAAGAATATTGCTTCTCGTGGGTTTCAAGCTTTTATTAAGGGAGAGTCAGAAATTAAACCGGTACCGGGTATTATGGGGACCCTACTCCAGAGCGCTAATACGGGTCGAGCGTTCCGAGGAGTTAATATTCTCTCCCAGCAGCACTGTTTAAAGGCTCCCTGTTCCCCACAGATGAAGCCTACACAGCTGCAAAGGCTTAGTGGAAGGTTCCAGGCCCAAGAGAAGCCGAATTGGCCTCGGATAAATCCTTCTAACCTTTCTCAGTTGAAAACTGATACTGAAGCTGCATCTTCCAGAGCAGGACCTAGGGATAACATATTCGACGTACCCTACGATCCTATAAGCGATACCATCTACGAATACTCGGAGCAGCAGCAACCACTAGTACTCGAGGTGATCTGCAATGGGCGTCGCCTCCAGGCCCTGGTGGACAGTGGTGCGTCCCACTCGGTGTGCGACCGCGGGACGTTGGAGAAAATTGGAGAATCCTCAGAGGAAACCCGGTTTACAGCAACGATGGTGGACGGTACGAAGCTTCCCATCCACGGCAAGTCAACAGTGCAGCTGCAGATAGGGGGGTTGAGGTGGAAGCTGACGTTGCCGATCACGAACATCAAGGGTTTAGATTTCATCTTGGGGCAAGATTTTCTGAAATGGTTCAACCCCGAGATCGACTTGGTCAACCGGAAAACGTGCATCTACAACAACGGGAAACGAGTGGAGTTGCGAAGCTGGACGGATACAGGGAGCGTTCCTGAAACGACACTGGCACGGCTCGAACGGACAGTAAACGAGAGTAACACGGGTTACTTAGCACTGGTTATGGCAGTAGCAGAGGAGGAGGTCTTGGAGCAGTACAAGGATATAATGCCCAACGACCTACCCGCAGGCGTACCTCCAGCACACACCCACGAGCACGAGATCGTGGAGGAACCAGGTGCGAAACCCGTCCCACGTGCACCATACCGACTGAGTCCGACCGAACTGACAAACATGAAAAAACAGATAGAGTATCTACTAGACAGACAACTGATCCGCCCATCCACCTCTCCCTACGGTGCACCAGTTCTCCTCACTCCAAAGCCAGACGGTAGTTTACGGATGTGCATCGACTACCGCGCACTGAACAAACAGACAGCACTGACTACAGCGCTAGTACTCATCCTACCGGATCCAGACAGAGACTACGTGGTGGAACAGACGCTAGTGACCAAGCAGTCGGAGCAGTAATGATGCAGGATCACGCACGCGGTTTGCAGCCCATCGCCTACCTCAGTAAGAAGCTACACGGAGCAGAACTGAACTACCCCATCCATGACAAGGAAGCCTTAGCAATAGTCATAGCCTTCAAGGCGTGGAGGTGTTACCTAGAGGGAGCCAAGACTACAGTCTATACAGACCACTCCAGTCTCAAATACCTGAAGTCGCAGCCGACGCTCTCACGACGACAGGTGCGGTGGGTGGACTTCCTGAAAACTCACTTCCACTACGACATCGTCTACAAGCCCGGGCTACACAAGAAGGCAGACGCGATGAATCGCCCCGGACATGTAGCAGGCATCCAGCTCGACAGGATGAACCCTCTGCTCAAAGGTCTATTCCAACATGGGTACTCCGTGGACGCAGAGATCACTACAGCACAGAACCAGAAGTTGTTACAGTGGGAGAAAGACCTAGCGGTAAGGAAGGGTTCAGGAAAGATGTGGGTACCGAATTACGCCCCGCTACGACAGATCCTATTGGAGGAATTTCACGACGTACCTTACGCGGGACATTTCGGGAGCAACAAGACGTTAGCAGGAATAGCGAAGTATTACTACTGGCCTCGGATGGCAGCAGACGTGCTGCAGTTCGTCACCTCCTGCGACACGTGCCAGCGGATGAAGAGCAGCAAACAGAAAAAAGCAGGATTACTTCAGCCTCTACCCGTACCAGAGCAGCCATGGTAGGTCGTTAGTCTCGACTTCATCACAGGACTTCCCTCGACCTCACGGGGACATGATTCCATCCTCGTACTCATCGATAAGTTCTCCAAAATGGGTCACTTCATACCGACCAACGCCACAGCTACAGCTGAAGCAACTGCTCGCCTCTTCTTCGGCCGCATCATCACCATCCACGGCATCCCCGCTACATTCATCTTAGACAGAGACCCCAAATTCACGAGTAAGTTCTGGAAGGAGCTCATGGGATTATTGGGGACCAAATTTGTGATGTCCTCAGCATACCACCCACAGACTGACGGACAGACCGAGCGACTCAATCAGGTGGTTGAACAGTTACTGCGCACAGCTTGCAAGGACGAAGTCAGCCATTGGGACACACAGTTATCGACCCTAGAGTTGGCTTACAACAACGTGTCACATGCGGCCACAGGGGAAAACTCCTTTCTTCCTGTGTTACGGACAGGAACCACTCACACCACAGCAGCCAACCACACCGGCACACGTCCAAGCCGCACATGACTTCGTCACCACCATGCAACAGCTATGGGAGAAGACTCATCGACGTCTCACCACGATGCAGAACTCCCAGAAGCAGTATGTCGATCGTCAGCGACGAGATCACTCAGTAGCAGTCGGAGATCAGGTGCTTCTTGACACGCGCAACTTGAACCTGTCTCACCTCCCATCCAAACTCCAGCCTCGCTTCTGTGGTCCTTTTCTCGTTGAGGCACAGGTGACACCAGTTACATTCCGCTTGCGCTTACGAGATGCGTGGAAGCTTCACAACGTTTTCCATGTGCAGCTTCTGAAGCCCTACAAGGACCCCAACCAACAGTTCCAGGGACAGCAGCTACCGCCACCACCACCGGTTCTCGTACAGGATGAACCAGAGTACGAAGTGGAGCGCATTCTCACTCATCGGCGCCGCGGCGGCAAGACCCTCGAGTTCCTGATACGCTGGAAGGGATACGACCCCACTGAGGACCGTTGGGTTGCAGAAGCTGATATGGGCAACGCACGCCATGCTCTCAAGGACTATCTTGTCAAGCAAGGTGTATCTCACGCCACCCAGCTTTGAGGGGGGGACGTGTGAGAGTACGACGGCTTATGCCAGCTATGCTTGCTTGCCTTTACTTTATGATGCTATTTCTAGCATAGGATAATTATATGCATGCATGGATTGCTTGATTTCCTAGGCTAGGTGCTTTCCTATATTTTATTTTAGTTATAGCACTGAGCTAGGTTGCGTGCACCAAATTCTGGCTTTTCGGTTGCCACCAAATTGCCTTCTACCGAATTCGGTAAGGATCTGTTCAGGACACTTCGCGACCCGCGGAACCTTCGCATAACACCTGGTTACGGGGCCTTGTGTCGAGCCTATATATAGCCTCGTGTTGTACCCAGGTGATAATTCAATTACAATTTTCTTTTCTGAGCTCGATCCTAGATCCTCACATTCACGGCCCCTTCTCGGCCCCGTCGCCGCCCTTCGCGGCCCCTCACGGCTCCTTCTCGGCCCCGTTGCCGCCCTCCGCGGCCCCTTCACGGCCCTTCGTGGCCCCTTCGCCGCCCTTAGCGGCCCCTTCTCGGCTCCTCCGCGGCCCCTTCTCGTCTCCTTCACGGCCCTGCCGCCCCGCCGTCGTCGCCCCGGCAGCAGCAGCCGCAGCGCCATCACAGCCGCCACGGCCACTACCAGGGCCGCCACCGCCGTCGCTGCCGACAGCAGGAGCCGCCGCCGCCGTTGCAGTGACAGCAGCACCCGCCGCCGCCGCTGACAGCAGCAGCCATCGCCGCCGCTACAGTGACAGCCGCCGCCGCCGCTGCCAGAGCCGCGGCCGCCGCCACCACCGCCCGGAGCAGCCACCGCTGCCGCTGCCGTGACAGCCGCCCCCGCCGCTACCGAGGCCGCAGCAGCCGCCGCCGCCAACAGCAGGAGCAGCTGCAGCTGTCGCGGCCCTGTCCCTGCCGGCGCGCCTCGGCCCTGCCCCGCCACTTGCGGCACTCTACCCACCCGCCCTGGTAAGAGCACCGCCGAGCCGCGCCTCTGCGACAGCGCTGCTCCTAGCCTGCTGCTACTGCCCCTAGCCTGCTGCTACTGCTGTCATGGCTACCCCTAGCGTTCTCGTCTTTGATGCTGAGGGTAGGGCTGTCGACTTTGAGGTCTGGGTCGATGATCTGCAGCTTTTTCTACAGTGCGATAGGAAAGACGGTCTCTCGCTGTTCGATCTCACGTCTGGCGCCTCTACTGCCCCTACTGCCGATACTGACAGCACTGTTCGCTCACAGTGGGCCACACGCGATGCTGCTGCCCATCTTGCTGTGCGTAGTCACTTTCCGTCCTCTGAGCGCGCACACTTTAGTCAGTACAAGACTGCTAAGACCTTGTACGACGCTGTAGTTGCACGCTACTCTTCCCCTGCCACTGCTGCCCTTAGCCGCCTCATGCTACCGCGCTGCGCTTCCTGCTGAGTTCTGCGCCAAGAACCCCCCCCCCCATGTACACCACCCTCTACTACCTAGTCACCCGGCTCCCTGACTCCCTTCGCTCGGTCAGGGACCACTTCCTCTCTGTTTGCCCCACCACACTCATCTTTTACCTCCGCGAGGAGCGCCTCCTGGCAGCTGAGAAGAGTATAGTCGCTGTAGGAGCCTCTCGTGGTGACCCGCGTTCCCCCTTCTTTGAGGGGTGCTCCCCCTCCCCCCTTTTGCCCTCTGTTGCCTCTGTTGCTGCCGTCGACTTTGTTGGCACCGAGTCGGTCGGCGCTGCGTCTGCCCCTAGCGGGAGACGCCGCACCGGCAAAGGCAAGGGGGGAAAGGGCGCTAGAGGAGCTGGCGGGGGCGGTGGAGGTGGCGGTGGAGGCGGCGGAGGGAGTGGGGGTGGCGGTGGGAGTGGTGGCGGGGGTGGGGGCTTCGGTGGCGGCGGTGGAGGCGGCGGAGGGAGTGGGGGTCGCGGTGGGAGTGGTGGCGGGGGTGGGGGCTCCGGTGGCGGCGGTTGAGGCGGAGGCGGCGGCGGCGGTGGCGGTGGGAGCAGAGGAGGAGGCGGTGGCGGCGGCGGTGGAGGTGGCAGCGGCGGCGGTGGAGCCGGTCGGGGTGGCTCTGCGCAGCGGGGCGGCTTCGGTGGTGGTCAGCGCCAGCAGCAGCAGCGCACTCGTGAGACCCCGCCCCCCCAGCACCTTCGTGAGTGATACGCTGCGCGTCAGCGGGGTGGGGGTGCTGGTCCTTGTGCCTACGTCCTGCGTACCGACGACCGCACTGGTGAGCCGAGCGGTGGCCCGCACACCACCCAGCGCTGCTTCGGCCGCCTGACGGACGCTTGGCGTCTCCAGTTCCCTGACGCCACTGAGATCCCCCGCTGGGGCGAGCTGCTTAGGTCGGGGGTTGCTATCTTTGATCTAGATTATGATGCTATTCTTGCTGCCATGTATGTTGTGTCTACTAGTGATGAGGGTGACTGTTACCTGTGTATTCCGCCTGACCCGGGCATTGAGGCTGTTGCTCTAGGTGCTGGTGAGGCTGCTGCTCTGGGTGCTAGTGCGTCTGCTGCTCCAGGTACTGGTGAGTCTGCTGCTCCAGGTACTGGTGAGTCTGCTGCTCCAGTACGTCGGGCGTGGGGCTAGTTCTTGGAGGGCGGCGTTCAGTGGTCCTCAGAGGTCACGCAGACGCTTCTTGGGCTGACGACCAGGCTACACAGCGATAGTCACAGGGTTACACCTTCAGCCTTGGTTCCGGCTCTGTTTCGTGGCGGTCTACCCGCTCGTCTTCTGTTCTCGGCTCCAGCTGTGAGGCTGAGATCTACGCGGGGGCCGTGGCTCCACAGGAGCTTCGCTGGCTCACCTACCTGCTGACTGACCTAGGAGAGCCGCCTCGTTCTCCTCCAGTTCTGTACGTAGACAACAAGGCCATGCTGGCCTTGTGTCGAGAGCAAAGACTGGAGCACAAAACGAAGCACATTGCTCTCCGCTACTTCCTTGCTCGTGAGCTACAGCAGCGTGGTCAGCTGCGCCTTGCTTACGTGGCCTCTGAGGCCAACACTGCTGATATCTTTACCAAGGCACTTCCGCCTTGTGATCATCAGCGCTTTTGTACGATGCTAGGTCTTGTGCCTACTTGGCCTCACTTGCTCACTTCTTGACCTTGCTTGTACTGTGATCTATCTATACCTGCACTTGCTTGTTTACCTTTATATATGAACTTGCATGTGAACTTGCCTTGTGGCCTTGAACTTGTGCTCGGAATGTGTGGTGACGTTGTGATCCACCCTGAGCTTGCTTTGCCTTGCTTTGCTTTGCTTTGCTTGACTGGTCTTGTGACCCCTTGTTCTCCCCCACTTTGCCTATGGGGGTGTGTGAGACTTATATGATCTAGCCTGTGTAGGCTGTAGCGGGTTAGATACTAAGGGGTACACAATTCTAGGGTTTCATATTTGTATCACACTCATTCCTTAGTCAATCATTCCTCGCGATTCTCACAGCAAACACTAGAACTCCTCCTTCCTTTCCTCAAGGACGTCCGTGCTAAGGGCACACTCACCCCCGACGGACGGAGGATAGACAGATTCAGACTAAGCAACAAGACTAACGGCGTAGTCTAGACGACAGCGAGCAGCAAAGTCGACTAGCTCAGCAACAAGAGCAGACGCAGCAGTAGACTTAAAGGAAGGGTCCATGACAACAGTGGCCATGAGACACCTGGCAGTAGGACTAGCAGCACGAAGGGAGTCAAACTCCGGGTCCGGACCGACAGGAAGGGAGGACACAGGAGGAGACGGCAGAGGGATACGCTGTGGAGCAGTGGAAGGACGCAGTGCCATCTGGTGCATGCCGGGGACAGGAGGAGGACGATGATGAGAACCACGACGACCAGTGCGAGCAGCGGGAACAAGCGACGCAGGGCGAGACGCAGGCTCACGACGCTCAGCAAGACCTCCGGTCGGACCAGTGTAAGGAGAAGAAGCACGCAGAGGGGAGGCGGGCTGTAACTGTGACTGCGACTGAACCGGCGGTGGACAGTCTAAAGGAGGAGCAAGACTAGCAGAAGGCGGGAGACCAAGAATCTGCTGAAGGAGTGGAACGAAGTACGGTCGTGGCTGTGCAGCACCACCAGAACCAGCAGAGACAGCATCAACACCCCAAGCGTCAGCTAAAACTCCTGCAGTACCACCAGCCCCAGCAGCACCTCCTGCAGCTCCAGCAGCGCCAACTCCAGCACCGCGAGCAGACCCAGCTCTAGCAGGACCACCAGAAATCCCAGTAGCTCCAGTATCGCCAGCTCCAGTACCTCCAGCACCACCTGCTCCAGCAGCACCACCAGGCCCAGCAGCTCCAGTACCTCCAGTACGAGCACCTCCGGGACCAATGACTCTAGAACCCTCAGCAGCTCTAGTAGCAGAAAGACCTCGAGCTCCAGTAGCACCACTAGCTCCACCAGCACGGCTCCAGCACCACGGCTCCAGCGCTCAGCAAACCACTCGCGCAGCTGCAGTGGAAAGAGTGGCTCCCGCCGGGACAAGGCACCCAAGGGACCTACAGGCTCAGCACCCTCAGGCTCAGCACTCCCAGGCTCCACACGCGCAGGCTCAGTACCCACAAGCTCCGCACCCTAAGACTCTGCAACCCCACGCTCAGCACCCCCAGACTCAGCACCCCCAGGCTCAGCACCCCTAGACTCAGCACCCCCTGGCTCAGCACCCCCAGACCCGGTACCCCCAGGCTCAGCACCCCTAGCAGCACCAGAGTTATCTGCTACCTCGACAGGCTTGACTGTGTCTATCAAGGACACACCTGAGGGGGCAGGACCTTGAGGGGGAAGGGGGTCTACTGGAGGAGGACCTGGCGCAAGGAAGAGCAGTGGGAGGGGGAGGGGGGCAGTGCGGTAGGGGAAGAGACGGTATAAGGAACCGACTCGTCAAACGTGATGTCCTGAGAGGACAGAACACGGCGCAAGGTGGGGTGGTAAAACTGCCAACCAGGCGCGTCAAGGGGGAAGCCTAGGAAGACGTAGGGAACAGCACGGGAGGATAGCTTGTCCACAGACAAATCGCGGACAAAAGCTCGAGATCCCCAGACACGGAACGCAGACGCATCGTCAACCTTCACCGTCCACCGCAGAGTAGGTGTGGTGTCTGGCATGGAGACCCGGGGCTGGAGGTTAAGCTGATGTGCAGCGTACTGAACCGCGAACAGCCACAGAAAATGGGGAGCAGCCGCATGAATCATGGACGTATGAGCGACGTCCATGACCATGCCAATGCGGCGCTCAGCAATCCCATTTTGTTGTGGAGTGGCCGGAAGCGTGAACGTCTGGCGGATGCCCTCCGCACGACAGAAGGCACGCAGAAGGTTGGAGGAAAACTCTCCAGCTCTGTCTGAGTGCAGACGCAGAACAGGAAGGTCCGAGCCGAAACTCTCGCTGAGCTGGTGACGGGCAGCGCGGATCCAGTCGATCAGCACCTCAGTGACCTCACCCTTGCGGCGCAAGGGGAAGACTGTGGTGTAATGCGAGTAGTCGTCAATGACCTGCAGAAAGTAACGCTCGTGACCCTGTCCACGGACGCGGGCGGGGCCCCACACGTCCATGTGAAGAGTCTGCAAGGGAGCCTCCGTCGGAGGGAACTTGGAGGAGTGAGGAGCGGCGCGCTGCCACCCCTCAATGCAAGGAACGCAGGTAGGGGCAGGCCCCGGTGGAAGGGGAGGGAGAGACCAGGGAAGACCAGTGACAAGGACACGAGAGGCCATGCGTCGGAGACGAGGCAGGGAGGGGTGACCAAGGCAGTGGTGCCAGAGGAGAGTCTGGTGAGAAAGGAGGCGACACGAGCAGGGGGCAGACTCAGGACCAGACCGGGACGCTGCAGCAAACACTTGACCAGACGCAGCTACTGGAACAGACACGGTAGTGAGGGTGTATAGGCTCGACCCAGGCTGATGAGTAAACGTCCGTGTACACGTACAGTGGGTCACCCGCTGACCTCTAGGAGTGAACTGGTCAACCCGCACGTTTTGAAGGTCAGCTCCACTCACCAAGTTCGTGGAGAACGAGGGGAGGAGGAGACCGGACAGGGAGCCAGACGGGACCGCCGGACACAGCAAAACCGTGGAGGAGTGCGCAAGGACCGGACCCCCAGAGGGGTCTGCCAGGGAGACTGCCACTGGCCGGCTGAGCGGCGTGAGTGTGGTGCAGTCGTGAAAGAAGGAACGGGAAGCACCCGAGTCAAGGGAGAAAGTGTGCAAGACCTGAGCCGACGCGGTACCTGAGAGAGCAGCCTCACCAGCACCTGGAGCAGCAGACTCACTTGCACCTAGAGCAGCAGCCTCAATATCCGGGTCGGGCGGAACACACAAGAAACAGTCACCCTCAGCACTAATAGTCACAGCATATATAGCAGCCAGGATAGCATCATTATCAAGATCAAAGATAGCAATCCCCGACCTAAACAGATCACCCCAGCGAGGGAGCTCAGTGGCGTCAGGAAACTGTGCACGCCAAGCGTCAGTCAGGCGGCCAAAGCAGCGGTGCGTAGTGTGCGGCAGGCCGCACGTCTCCCCAGTGCGCTCACCGGTGCGGAGAACGTAAGCGCAGGGACCAGCACCCCCTGACCTCCCACGCCCGGCGTACCACTCACGAAGCTGCTGGGGCGACGGGGTCTCACGAGAAAGCTGCTGCTGCTGACGCTGGCCACCTCCCAAGCCTCCCCGCTGCACAGCTCCACCTCGACCCGCACCACCGCCGCCTCCACCCCCACTGCCGCTGCCGTCGCCGCCTCCACCTCCACCACTGCCACCGAAGCCCCCACTCCCGCCGCCACCCCCACCTCCACCCCCACCCCCTCTGCCTCCTCCACCGCCACCACCGCCGCCACCACCGCCGCCCCCGCCGTCCCTTCCACCACCCTTGCCCCCCTTGCCCTTGCCGCTGCGGCGTCTCCCACTAGGAGCAGACGCAGCTCTGACCGACTCGGTGCCAGCGAGGTCAACAGCAGCAGCAGAGGCAACAGAGGGCAAAAGGGGGACAGGGGAGCACCCCTCAAAGAAAGGGGCACGAGGGTCACCACGAGAGGCTCCTACGGCGACTATACTCTTCTCAGCTGCAAGGAGGCGCTCCTTGAGGAGGTCAACGGTGAGCGTGGTGGGGCAAAGGGAGAGAAAGTGGTTCCTGACTGAGCGAAGGGAGTCAGGGAGCCGGGTGACAAGGTAGTAGAGGGTGATGTACATAAGGGGGGGGGTTCTTAGTGCAGAACTCAGCAGGAAGCGCAGCGCGGTAGCGGGTGTCACTGGTGCGGAGGTGGGTAATGAGATCAGCGACTGTGGCAA